CCCGCCACCGGCACCCCCGCAGCAACCTTGCACCGTTCAGTCCAGCTACATCAGCCCTCCATTAACCGCATCCCCTCGAGCATGTGTGCCAATCTCTTAACTTTTCCCCCACAGTACTGACACCAAAAAATACTTGCTTCAGCTGCCCCTCTTCCTAACTGCCCCCGCCCCGCAGTGGTGGGGGCTGCCTCAGTCCTGCACCCTAGAGCTGTAGTCACTTCCAATAACCATCTAAGCTATCTCAGCCTGTGCCTGCCTTTACTAGAAGCCCGAAGGGCCCCCTCAGTTGCCTGAGCTGCTAGTGGCTTCCAGGAAGCATATTTGCTCTACCCCTACATCTGTACTCCCATGCCTGTCCTGTGTGCTGGTTCCTTCAGACCTCTAACTCTACTAACCACTAGGCTCATCTCACCTCTGGGCCTGAAACATTTCTTTTCTTTCTTTTTTCTTCCCTCAATTTTTCCTGGGCCTGGAGCAGCCAAGAATTACGGGCTGTTTGACTTTCTGTGAGCCCCCAGCAAGGGGAGGCCCAGCCTCCGAGGAGACCAGGAACTCTGCTTCAGCAGCCCCTCAGGGCTTCCCAAGGATGTTCAGCTCCCACACCCCCACTTCAACATGTTGAGTCACTAGGCTTTTAGGGGGGGGGCTCCAGCCTCTCACCCATGTATGAGACTCTGTTCCCCTTTCCAGAGAGTGCCCCGTCCTTATGTCTCCTCTCTCTCTGTTTCTCTCTTTCTCTCTCTCTCTCTCTCTCTCACACACACACACACACATACACACACACGTACCTATGCAAGTTCACTTAAGCCTCAGGGCTGGTCCCTACCCAGAGGGCTGGATCTTCTCTCCCAGGTTGTAGGGCTGGTTCCTTGACTTCCCTCTCCCCTTCCTTATAGCCCTCAAGCCTCCCACACATGTCCCCATCATCTTCCTACTGGATAAAGCTCATAAGCTGGGTGTCAGTTTAGGCTCAGCAGAGGACTCCCCAAGCAACTGGCAGGTTGTTCTCACCCTGCCTCTTACCCCACATGCCCTTCCCTGATTTCATAATTACCATGATGCCCCAGAGAAAGGTTGGGCAGGGGGACTTCTGGGACTCCTACTAAAGTGCCAGGTTTTATTTTTTTACCTTATTCTCCAGTTTAAGCAAATCATGACGTTCTCTTTAAACCTCTTCTATAAATTCTCCTGGCTTACCTAGGTGTCCATATTTTTAGGACTGGGGTGTCAAGATTAAGGATTAAGTCTTAAGCTCCAGGCTTTGGGGCAAACCAGGGTAGGGACATTTTGGCGTTCATTCATTTAACCAAGACTTCCTGGGGTTTTTGGTGACCAAGGGCTGTGTTGGAAGCATGACTCAGTCTTGCCTGCCTTCTAGGAGCTCTAGGTTTGCTCCCAACCCAGGCCATGGCTTTCTCTAGCCACCACTACAGAGCTGCCTCCTATACTTTTCCTTTCCTGACTCTGCCATGTTCAACTCCCTTGAGAATTCCTCCACTATTGCTCATGCCTTCAGTGTTGGTGCTCCCAGTGTTCCATCTTTGGTTCACTTCTCTTTCCTCTATGTTTACTCCTCAAATGATGTCATCTATCCTGATGTCCTCAATTGACACTGATATGCTGGTGATTCTAAAACACATATCTTCAGCCACAATTTCCCTCCAAATTTTAGATCTGTATTACCACCCACTGGACATCACCATGGACATACCCATATGGACTCAACTCATTTCCCGCATCAAGTGTGTTCCTCCTGAATTCCGATCTTGGTTATTTTTATCACACTCTACATAGGCACACCAGCTAGTAACATTTATGGGCTTAAATTCCTCCCCATATCTTACTAGTCATTATATCATATCCATTCCACTCCAACGATCTTTCTTGAATATGGTCCTTTCTCTCCCCCCTGCCTCTACTCTAACTCACAGGAGCATGGGATTTGGAGTCAGGTTGTTCTGGGTTTGAATCCCAGCTCTACTACTTTTTGGTTTCGTGATAAGAGAGTTATTTAATCTCTCTGAGCCTCAGTTCCCTTATATGTAAAATGATGATAATAATACCTACCTCACAGGGTTGTTGTGAGGATTTAAATTAGATAATGTACGAAAAGTGCCTAGCACAGTGCCTGGCACACAGTAGAATAGGTGCTCAATAAATGGTAGCTATTATTATTATTATTATTATTATTATTATTATTATTATTATTTACTCTAAATGGTAGGATATTACTGAAGATAAAGCTTTTGGAAAGGTAGCAGTGAAGCCTTGAGTGCTGGTTCAGGAATTAGAAATGCCTATATTCGGTCACTTAATGGATTCACACTGTGACCACCGTTTGAGGGAGACCAGATCTTCATCCTGCCATGTCCTGGCTTGTAGCAGGAGGATGCTGGGACAGTAGGGTTTGCAACCAGGTTTGCCCCTTTTTGTCCTTCCTCCCATGATGGGCTCAGCAGCAGTGAAGGCAGCAGGGCATCTCTCCCTGCAGAAAGAGAAGAGCTAACAGATTTTCTTTAGGTCCTGCAAGAGGAAGTAGGCCTTTCATGTCTGAGGGTTTGCTGTCTCTTCTCAGCTTGGATTTGAAGATTAACTCTGTTCATCAGAGAGGGGATTTCAAATTCCATGTCCAGTTAAATTAAACTTGCCAACGGTTTTTTAAGCAACATATATGCTGTCAATAGAAGGCACACAGGTCCTGGGCTTGAGAGGTCACATACGTATGTATAGCTGGGATAGAACAGACATTCTTGAAAAGCTTTGGCTAGTTTCTTACAAGTATTTGCCTTCTTGCTCCCTGCCCTTTTACTTGGGTCTTGAACCCTGGGAAAAGGCTCATGTCTGGAACAAATATTTGATGAAAAACTCTTGGGAGAATCAGAGGTGGTGTTAGAAAGCAGGAATTTCAGTACAAACACTTCTGCCAAGTCGTGTGTGTGTAAAGTGAGCACAGCCAGTCCTCGGACTCCGGAGACAGAAAAGGCCTACAGCAATCTCAGGCTTGACAGATGGGCTTCAACAAATGGTATTAATTCTCTGAAGCTTTCCTCAACACTGAAATAGGAACAGGATGGATTGCAGACTACAATTCCCAGAATGCTCAGTGGGGAAAGTGAAGTGAGTGGAGTGGCGTATGATGGGATGTGTATTTCGTGAAAGGGTGGATAAGGCCACGCCTATCCCTCCCCCAAGGCACGCCTTCCCAGCCGAAGGCATTCGGGTAGTTGTAGTTTTGCTAAACCTAGAAAGCTTAAAATTGTAAGCGAGAAGGTCGAGGGGCCTGACGGGATATGTAGTCGGCGCGATCGCTGGACGCGCACGCGCAACTGTGTTCGGGGCGGGGCCGCGGCACTGCGGTGAAAGCCGAGGCAGCGGGCAAGCGAGCAGGGGGTGGGCGGACATCTTGGGATCTGGAGAGTGGCCGGGCGGGCCGAGCAGGGGGTCGCGGAGACCAGGTAAGCTCGGGATCTGGTCAGGGGTGAGGGAGAACGCCTACCACGCTGCCCAGCTTTGCCCTTCCCTGCACTGCGCTACGCGGAAAGCTGCCCACACCCGGGACTGGCCTCAGCCTTCAGATCTGGAGGGAGCTGACGGCGGGGCGGGGGCGCCCGGGGCGCGGTTGCAGGACGGGCCAGGAGCGGCGCCCTCCACCTGACCCGTCCAGCGCCTCCTGTGAGAGGGAGACTTACTGGAATCCTCCCAGAGCGGGGACGCCGCGCGGCGCCCCCATACCCGGGATCGTGACAACCCCCCCTGCTCCTTGGCGCCTCCTCTCAGCGCAAGGACAATTCCCCCATCTCCTAGGACAGTGACACCCCCTTGTGCCGCCTCCTTGGACTGTGACAAGCCTCCCACCCTGCGGTACCCCCTCCTCCCAGTTGAGTGACACCCCGCGGCTCTTCTTCCTCAGGCCTGTGACAGCCCCCGCACCCCCGTGGAGCCATATTTTTCCCGCGATGTCTTCCTCCCCAGGGCGAAAAGCCCACCACCCGCTCATGCCTCTACGCTTGAACCTCAAAGCAAGTTACGCAGCCTCAGCTTTCCCTTATTCACCACTGTCAGTCTCTCCCTACTGTTTTTTCCTCTTCAAAGCCTTACCTTTGTCACACTGGAAACTCCTTCCTCCAGATGTTTCCCCCAGCCCTGTTGCTGCTGCAGGCTCACCTGAAGTAGACCGCCTGGCTGTTTCTACCAGTCTTTCCCCTTAACTCAGTATTCCCTTCCTGCCCTGGGCCCCACCTTTGCTCTTTGGTGCTCTGAGGTCCCTACCACTTGATACCCGTGAACTTGCTTCTTTGCTCAGGGCTCTACCTCCATTTTGCATTTCTTCTCCCAGCCTCTTTGGGACTGAAGGGTGAAATGTGTTCACCACCACCTTGAGAGACCTCTCACTGAGTTTGGGAGACCCTGATGGCCACAGTAATAGGCTCTATTTTCCAGTTTAGAAAAGTCTGCTAAACTCCCTCTGCCCTGTGAAATTAATACCAGAGCTAATTCAGGAAATCTAGAACTAAATTAACCCTTTTTCTCCTTGCAAACAGTCTAAATTAATTTGACCCAAATAATTTGGATAATTCACATATTCCACCCCTTGCTTGTAGGTACTCAGGCCAGAAATGAGTTATGTCATGGGTCTGGAATCATAGAATTTCAGCTGGATTGATCTCTTCATTTTATGAACTGTACCTTCACCCCTCACCCCCCATCCCCCTTATTTTTATTGCCTTTGGGAGCTGAGAGGGATCCTCCCTTTTTGAAAGGGAGGTGGTTAAAAATAACTCATAAGCAGCTTGGGTCATTGAAGTGTAGTCTGCCAGGGCTGGGGCCTTTCTACTCTGCTCTTTTGCCTGCTTATCTGACTGCCTGGGATTGGTTGGAGCCACACTCCTGGGTTGGTGTCAGGGCCTAAGGCCTCCCTTCTCTCCTCCCCACGCCCTGCACACCCTTTCCTGGAATGTTTAGACTTCTGTGAATTAGAGAGCAGCAGGTTCAGGCCCTGCAGTCTTCTCAGAAGGGTAGTGGAGCCTGAGAGACTGGGTGCTCCTAAAGCTGTGCCTGGGGGCCCCAGACCTGAACAAAGTGGAGTAATTCCTACCGCCATTCCTGCAGCCGCAGGCAGGCCTTCACAGTGACTCACTGGCTACAGTCTGAGTGAGAGTCTGCACAGGAAGGGGCCAAAAAGGATCCGTGCTGAGCTCAGCACTGTGAAGAGGGGGAGGGGGCTACTCTCTGGGCTCAGCCCCAGAAAAGGGAGGGTCAAAATGGCCTTAGAATCCTGGGCCCAAGTCCCTCTCCATTTCTTTCTCCTTTCCAGTGTGGGATAAACAGGAACTGGAGCCTGGCTAAGGGGAGGGGCATGCCTGGGGAGGGCTTCAGGGTCACTTACTGGAGGGTTGAGTCAGGAAAAAAAGCCCAGCCAGTGACCTGCACAGCCCCACAGAGGATGTTGGCAGAGGTTCTCAGGCCTTCCCTTACCCTGCCTCCGCCTGTCCTAGGTCTGTTCTCAGAGCGATGGGCCTTGGAGACTGAGCTGCCGCCATGATTGGAGGCTTATTCATCTATAATCACAAGGGGGAGGTGCTCATCTCCCGGGTCTACCGAGATGACATCGGGTGAGTCCCCTGGCTGAGCCAGCTGTGCCCCCACCCTTCATCCCTCCTCCCCAGCATGTAGGACCAGGTCCGTTCCTACCAGAGACTTGACTTGGGCCACCCCCACCCCTTGCTGCATCCTAGAAGCTCAGCTAATACAGCCTGGTTCCCTTTAGGTCTGGTGGTATTGGCCTGGCAATAGGCGGGACCTGTGGAATGGTGTGGCCCCCACAGTCTTAGGAACTCTTGCCCTTCCTGCCGTCTGCTTCCCTTAGTGACAGACCTACTTGCTGGAAATGAGTGCTTTTGCCCTGGCAGATTAATTCCTCCTCTGAGGAGGAGGGAGATCTTTCTCCAGGGGCTGAAGTTAGTGGCCAGGCTAGTGGTACTAGTCTGTCTAAGTCTTGCTCTCAGAAGCCCTTCTCATGGTGAGAGCCTTCACTGGATTCTCTTGAAAGCCTCTCCAGGCTTCCAAATACTCTCCCACTCCCTTTCTTGGGAGGAGGCAGGCTGCTGACTCAGCTGTTTTCAGTTCCTTGGGGCCACTCCTAGAAGAGAGGTTGTGAGCAAGCCTGAGGCACTCTCCGGGTCACTAAGGGAAGGGCAGGGAGCCATGTGGCCCTTTCTGGCCTATCAGAGTAGACCTGGAAGAGCTCCTTGTTCTGGGTCCCTCAGACCTTAACAAGGAGGCACAGCCTGCCTTCTCATTCTGCCCCACCCTGCATGCCGCTGTTCTTTCCTGAGTGAGGGGACACATCCTAGCCTCAGCAGCTCTAATGAGATTAGGCTCCTCTGGTTCATGCTGCCCTGTTTTTCTTCCTTTAAGAGTTTAGGATAGATAGTTATAGAATGGGCCTGCTGCAGTGCCCTAGCTCCTTGGCTCCCAGCTCCCTGGCTAGTGGGCTGGCCTGGCCTTTGTGGCTGTTTGTCCATTGGCTGGTGGTGGGCATGCACTAGAGTTGTGGGAGTGCCTGGCTTGCCTGAACCTGGCTGGCTACACCCATCTGCACTCCCTCCTGCCCTGGATGGACCTGCTTAAGCCAGGGCACATACTGTCTTGCGTGCCTTGCTGTGCTTTCCCACCCCTTGCCTGTTGCTTGTCAGCTTCCACCTCATGGTGTCTGCTGCCCACCCCAGTGTGTTGTGTGTCTAATCCTCTCTCTCGTTGCTGTCACTCTCCTCTTCTTGCTGGCGTCATTTCTCTCATCCCATCTCATTGGCTGCCGTAGCAATAGGTAAGCAGCCTATCAAGCTGCCGCCCAGGCACAGGTGGGTGGGGGGCCCTGCCCCCCCCATCATTGTTTTCTTCATCTGTTTTCATTCCCTGAACTCGTCCTGGAATTGGATCCTGGACAGGAATGAATGGCCCAGCTCCATGGCCCCTTGGTGCTTCTTCCTCAGTGGATTAGAGCCTTCTCCAAAGTCACGGTGGCTTTGTCTCAGTTCTAGAAAAGCCACGCCTCCCCACTGGTAGGATCACAAGTGGGAGAACTGAAGAAGAAGAAGGGTATCTTTCTCATTTGGGCCTGGAGCTTAATGAGAAGTTAGAGAGGTGGCAGCTGGGAAATTGGGGCCAGGCCTGGGAGTCGGGAACATACCTCCTTAAGCCTGATGGACTTTACTTTATTAACACCACACCTGTCCTCCTGTCATTCCCACCTGACTTCCCTTCAGACACCAGCTCAGCTCCGGCCCTACTCCCATGCCTCTGCTGGGAGCCACAAGGGAACTGCCCCAGTGGTTTAGGCATTGGCTTCAGAGTACATGTCAGACTTAAGCAGTTAAAGGGGGAAAGGTTGTTAGCAGCTGTGGTTGATCCCCATGGAGTGAGGTTTGACAGGGTGCTGAGCAGCCCCTATGTACCTTTTCCCTCAGGAGGAATGCAGTGGATGCCTTTCGGGTCAATGTTATCCACGCCCGGCAGCAGGTTCGCAGCCCCGTCACCAACATCGCTCGCACCAGTTTCTTCCATGTTAAGCGGTCCAACATCTGGTTGGCAGCTGTCACCAAGCAGAATGTCAATGCTGCCATGGTCTTCGAATTCCTCTATAAGATGTGTGACGTAATGGCTGCCTACTTTGGCAAGATCAGCGAGGAGAACATCAAGAACAATTTTGTGCTCATATATGAGCTGCTGGATGGTGAGGCTGGCAGGGCGGTGGGCCCAGGGTGGGGATGGACCTGATGGGGCCTAGCCTGGAGGTAGGGGCACATGTGAGGTTCCCTCCAGTGTCCTGTGAACTTTCTTTCCTGACGGTCTGGTCTTTTGAGCCCTGAAAAGGCCAGTCTAAATTCAGCCCTAAAGGCTGCTCTGAAGTAGAACACAGAAATAGGCTAGCGAGTGGAGGTATGGGGAGATGGGGCGGAGGACCAAAAGATCTTTCAGGGGGCTAGGAACCTAACTGTGGGGCTTGGTAGCTGGGCCTCCTGCAGTTAAGCACATTTCCCTCTTAGCTTTGTGGTTTGGGCCTTAGTTCACTGACTGTCCTTCCAGCTTTCTATCTCAACAGCTGCCTCAGAGCCTGAAGGAGGGTGAGATATTACCAACTGCTGGGGTTGCATTATCTCTGTTCCTCTGTAGGGTATGATTTAAGGGAACAGAGTCTTTCTCCCTTCCCAGATCTGTTTTCTAAGGACTCAGTGCTTCTTGATCTCTTACCCACTGTCCATGAGATTCTTCTGATTTTCTCTGTGAAAAAAATCTGACGTTTTAATTATGTTTTCTTATGAAGCACAAATCCCAGAGTAAATGCTACAAAGCTAGAGGACATTGCTGCAGATGATCCCGTACTCTTCTAGGGCTGTGCTGGCCAGATAGGTCCAGACCAGGGGAGGGATTGGACTGAAGGAGCCTTCAGTTTTTTCCAGGGGCTGATGGTTCTCTTCCTTTTGCAGAGATCCTGGACTTTGGCTATCCACAGAATTCAGAGACAGGAGCACTGAAAACCTTCATCACTCAGCAGGGTATCAAGAGCCAGGTACTCAGTGGGACAGCCACAGCAAGGGTGGGGCCCATCCTCATTGAGCCCCCCCCCCCCCCCGAGCCTTGTCCCAGCTGACTCAAGAGCCCGCCTTTGACAGGAAGTGCTGGCCTGAGCCCTCTACCATGATTGCGGGCCTATTTTGCTGTATGTGGCCCTCCACCCTAGGAGCAGCTGACTCAGCAGCTCTGTTATTGGGAATACAGTTCAAGCAGTTTCCTTCTGCACTGGGGGAAGGAAGGGTGTGGGCTGCCCTGGAGGCCTGGTGTTCCTCAGGAGGAGAGAGCGTGGGCCCTCCTCTAGGATCCAGGCCTTATAGCTGCCTTCTTCTTTTCTGCCTGCTGCTTCCCGTCTGTGCTCCCCTCCTGCTTCCTGTGGGCATCACATTGGCCCTTTGGCCTCCAGCATCAGGTAAGCTGTTCCCTCAGCTTCCACCTTTACAGCTTTGCTCCAGTTTTCTTCGGGCCCTGCCGCATGGAGCTCATGAGGAGGATGAATTACAGGGTGGGGACTAAAAGGGAGGGGGAATGAGTGGAGTGGGGATAGAGACAGGATCATTGAAGGTGGAGAGGAATGAGGCCATTAGTATTTTTCTCTGTCCCCCCATGTAGACAAAAGAAGAGCAATCCCAGATCACCAGCCAGGTGACCGGGCAGATTGGCTGGCGGTGGGAGGGCATCAAGTATCGCCGGAATGAGCTCTTCTTGGATGTGCTGGAGAGTGTGAACCTCCTCATGTCCCCCCAGGGT